CTGCCTGTTAGGAGGGAGGTGTGTGAGCAGTGTCGGCAGGGAGGGGAAGGAGCGGGGACAGGGACGAGCCATAATGGGGCAGAGCAAACGTCGTTCACTGGGGTGTTTCGCTGCCCTCGGTGCAGCAAACCTAAAAACAGTCTTAGCACGCAGGTCTTGCAGATGTACTGAAGCAGATACTTCCTGAGAATTTCTGAAGAGGACACTGGGAAACATAAGGAATTGAATAATTTCTGTGCTGACTGAAGTGATGCTTGATAGGTAAGACTCAGGCAAAGTTGAAGGAAGAAGTAATTTTACAGACTAAAAATAGCATCACTTGGACGTTTTGAGAAGGAGTAGTAGTTTGTGATTTGCAGAGGGCTAAGATGGGCAGTTTACTGGTACATTTTTCTGAATATTCTTTATATACCAAGGCTGACTAAGGGAGTGTTTCAACCATGAGTAGCCGTCACTGCAAAATAGGAGGAGGAACATTCTGGGTAATATATCCCGTCGTAACAGCAGCAGACTCTGGGTGCCAGGTCAACCTTTGTGCAGCTTTTACTAAACTTTCATAATCATTATTGTCCTCTGAAATAATCTTAATTTTTGCTGAAAATCTGTAAATGAGAATTACATACATTTTCTATTAGCACCAGTCTATACTGAGGTTGAGAGAGAAGTAGCTAAAAGAACAGTTTAGTAATTACTATGAGGCAGCCTGGGCATCAACAGCCTAGGAATTGGTTTTGTTCACATGGAAATGGGCTGTACCACTGAGGAAGACAAGAACAAGTATCCTGAGCATCTGTTTAGTTTAGTGCTGACTCTCCATTTTTCTGGATTTTGGTATTTCACTTTATTTGGATAATGTATGAAGTTAATTGTGGTGTTTGGTAGTAACGGTGAGTAAGCACAGTAGACACTGGAGCAGCAAGTGGTTACCCTCTGTTGTCTTTGAGATCTGACCTGATTTCCTAACTGATAGAAGTTTTGTAGAATTACAAGAAGAAACCACTGGCATGTTGAAGTGCTTGCTGGTGTTGAGGAAGCCTTGTGCTTACCTTGGTAGTCAAGTCGGTGGTTAATACTGAAGGGTAATGGAAAGAAATCACGAGGGCACAATCTGAATATCAAATTGAAACAGATTGTTAACTAATCCCTCCAAATTTTATTTATTAATTTTGTAATTATACCAGATGAAATTCTTACAAGCTACGCTGATTGCTTGGTGTACCTCAAGATACATTCACATCTCGATAAAACACATTTCAGCCTTTTATTAGTGAGATAATGAAAAATGCTATCCCGTGGAAGAGTAGGGGACATGTATTCCAACATTACTTACAGTCACCTGTTTGCTTTTTAATGTTGCTATTGAATTTGTATTTAACTCAGGATTAAAGTATAAGCTGACATATTTGAATAAGGATATCTTTAAGCCTTGAGTTCTTAATTTTTCTTTTAAATGGCCACACAATCGGTTAATGGAAAAAGTTTTTAAAACTTGGAGGATGCTGTATAACAAAGACATGTTACTGTTGATTAGATGCAGAAAGCAGAGATTCACAGAGACCCGCAGAGGGGCTGGAGCCCACCTGTACGGATGGAACGTGGGGTGTTTGTGGCAGGGATGGGAGGGGAAGGGCCTCCCTCCTGTGGAGCGGTGCAGGCGTGGGCAGCGTCCCTTGGGCGCCTGCTGGGGCCATGCAGAAGTGGGCAATGCCTGCGGGAGCTGCTGGTCCTGGGGAGAAGGGGGATGAAAGGAGCAGTCCTGCCCTTCACACAGACAGGGCTAAAGCATTAGTATTGTTGGCAGGCAGCTTGTTCCCCATGTGCTAGACAGCACTCAAACAGTAACAAGTATTCCCCATCCTCAGTGGAGGCACCTTTTTACTGAGTAGCAAAGCTTTTAAATGGCAGCAAGAACTTGTTGGTGACTACCGTTTACTCACAGGTGTATATCTTGGGTCACCTCTGAAGCTTTAAAGGGGTTTATGTTTATTATTTCTGAAAGGTAGGTTTTTGTAAGCTTTTCAAAGGAGATCTTCTTCACCAAAATAAGTGATTTGTGATGGCTGGATCTTGATCAGATTTTCCAGATTATTCTGGCGGTCATTTTTAATAATCTTCATTGTAAACTTTAAGAAAATACAACCCAAACCAAAAAGACTCTGATCTTTATATACAGGTGACTTTGTCCAAAATGAGCTGAAATACAAACTAGGATTGTTTTACTAGTTAATAAAATGTGCCGTTAATGAGACAGTGAGCAAATGTCACATTCACATGTTGGTATCTATCAGAACAAATCAAAATCTACTGTTTGGCACAAGAGGTAAAGACCCCTACATTGTAATAAAACTGTCATGGGATTAGTGTCTCCTGCTTTGTAAATAAACATCTCTGCTTTGCCTTGGTATTTCTGTAACATCCGGAGACTATTATCCTGTGCTGGTGCTCTGGTTCATTGGCAGTTTCACTTAAACAGTTAAACAACAATTTGAAATGGAAAATGTTCTTCCTATATTCCTTAATTCCTCTGTGCTTTGCCCCCCCCCCCCGTTTTTTGTTGTGTTTTTGTCAATTGCTTTAGTAATTGCATCTTCTTTTTTGTTACATAGGAAAATACCGAACTGCTCACAAACCTCATTCAAAGCCAAAAGTATCAAACGTTTTTGAGGTAGATTTTCCAGCGAATGGAAGTGATACAAAATCAATGGGCCGTTTTCAGTCAGAAGAGGAACTATGGGCCCGCTTAGAAGAGCTCGAGAGACAAGAGGAGATACTTGGTGAACTTGACAGGTATAGTACTGCTGTAACAGTCAGGTCTGAGATTTCAGAAAGTCGTGGGTGTGTGATCCTGTTTGTACACAAAGTGCAGATAGCTAACTAAACGGATGCAGTTTAAGTTACAAAAAGGGGAAGAAGTGTGCACTGCAAGGGCAAAGGTGCTGAAATCTGCCTCTGTGCCACCACAGCAGTTCAGCATTATAGTATTTTTTTAAAGATGGTAGGAAAGGGGAGAGTAAAATCCATTTACTGTTTAATGACATCCTTAGAGCTATTCTGATCCTGAAGCAATATATATGTCGTTAGCCAGAATGTCACAGTTCTGATATTTCCAGTTGACATGGAAAGGACATAGTTATTCTTATAGTGTATAAAAAAGGTTTCACAATCTGGCTAAAAACATAGCACATGGGTAAAGAAAATATTATACAGGCTTGTTCATTATTTGTATGTCTGTGCCTCTCAAGAGTATGAATTGTCTCAGTTCACATAGATATTTTTCATTTCATAGGATGCCTGATACAGTTGAGACAAATGGAGAAGATACAACTTCCTCTGAAGAGGAGAAAGAAGATAAGAGGACAGATCTGAATGGGACATATAAAGCAGAAGACTGTATTACTCAGGGCAACTTCGATAAAGAAGTATCAAATTCAGACTTGTTTGGTGGCCAAGTTAATGGCTCTACTTACTATCACAGTGATGACGAAGATGACATAGATGTTGGAGATAATTCTGTTCCAACTATTTTTTTCTCTCACACTGTTGAACCTAAAAGGGTTTGTACTTGGTTATTTTTATCTTTATCTCAACAAATTGCTTAAAACATATATACCATATCCAAAATAGAAAAATTTAGATAATATAGACAAAGTAGAATGCTAATTGTAAGTGACATTTATTTATTTGGATTTTTTCCTAAATGCTTGGAGCCCACTGCTGAAATCCTGCAGTTACAAATATGGTATTAAAAAAATTGATCTTCAAATGTATACCTTGCTGTTCTGGCTTCTGACTGCTGTAAAAGGTAGTCCAAGAGTTCTTTAAATTACTTTTTACTTGACTTGAGCTGTTAAACAGCTCAGCTGTTGAGCAGAGTTTGAATATGCAGATTGTTATATACTATATGCAATATTTATGCACATTAGTGCAAAGAAATGCCCCAGCCTAGTGCAAGTGGCAAAGAATAAACAGTTCACATTATGAATGTTACCATTCACGTGTTTGTTTAATTTATCTGTGCTTCATAGTCCCGAACTGCTTGGATAGGAGACTGTCAGAAGTCAGCTCTCTGCAGCCTGGTGATAGTTGATTTTATGGTCTAGACCATCATTTGTGTTCAATTTTCAGGTAAGAATAAACACAGGAAAAAATACTACTTTGAAATTCAGTGAGAAGAAAGAAGAGGCCAAGCGTAAAAGGAAGAACAGCAATGGCAATGGCCATGCAACTCCAGAACTGCCGAACATCAAAACCCCAGCAGACATTTACCGGTGTGTAATTTATAGTGTTGGCGTGTGAGCTTTCCCCTTAGCAGACCTTCTCTTTTCAATTCTGTTCACCTATAGTATGAAACTGAGCCTAATATTTCCTGAAAGAAACAGCTGGAACTGAATTTACTACTTAAAAAAGAAAGTTTTTGGCTTGTGCCTTGTTGCCATGCTTTCATATCCATAAAACATTTCTGATCTTAAAATTTCCTTTCTAAAGGAAAAAGCTTCTAAAATTAATGTGAATTTGCCAGTACGTATCATCTACATAAAAAAATAAGCAGTTACATATTCTGGTTAATTCAGTGTCATTTGTTTCTGTGTTTGTTTTCAACACAACTATCTATCATTTTTAATACCCCTCCCTTCCCAGTTACTGATTGCTGGGGTTTTTTTGTCTCTTCTTCCAGTATCTTCAGAATATACTCAGATCTCTGTTTGCATAGTTTCTCTTACGTTCTCTCTCCCTGCCTTTAGTCCATCACTGTCTTTATCCTCCCTAAAAGGTTCTTACCTGTAGAACACCCACACTCAGAGCTTGACAGTGTTGGGCTTAGAGGATGGTATTGAAACACTAAACAATGGTGACAGCAGAGTTAAAGCAAGTATTTAGGTTTGTAAAGATGAACATAGATGCCTGTTAAATTGGTTGATTGCTTGTGAAAATCACACGGCATTTGTATGCCGATGTATTCAGGCACCTAAGTATCTTAAAAAATGTGTTACAGAGTGTGGAAAGGTAAAACCCATCCTGTAATTACAGTTGCTGGGCTGAAGATGAGGTAAAGGATTCTTGCGGGGTGCTTTCCCCGAGCTCTGCACAGGAACTCCATCTTCTGTAGAGATAGGCAAGTGTTCCCATGAGTGCCTGATGAATAAAGCTGTTAAGAAACAGGTAACCCCTTTAAAACTCATCCAGTCATTGGGCTTCTCCGTTCCAAATTTGATAAAATTGGTGCTGTCTCCTGATGCTTTCTTTCTCCTCCACCCACCCTTGACTTCTTTAAGTCATGGAGATGGAGTACAAACTGTAGGAAGAGGCCTCTTCATCAGTTTAGAGTTTGTTAATACTTGAAAAGTGTCTCTGTGTTGATCTGATCTTAAAAGATGATTTTTAATACTTTTTTTAAACTGAAAGCAGAGGATTATGGCACTTGTAAGGAAAAAGCTTCGTCCTTTCCACGTGCAATGAATGTTTCAAGTATTTGTTTTTATATTCTACATTTGACAAGGACTTTATTCTAGAAAACCTTCTGTCATTGTCATCTTCTGTTTCTCTTTACAGAAAAAACCCTGGCAATCATTTAGTTTCCCTTTTCCCTAACTTTTTCAACTCATACTATTCTGTTTTCTAATACTTTTCAAAGAGCTATGTATTTTCTGCTTTTTTTCTTAATGCTTGAATAAAGGGCATAGCGGTGTTTGCTCTGCAGAATTGATTCTTGTATGTTGGTAAATAAAACGCCTCTGAAGGTACAGTATTATAATTCTGCAGTGAAAAAGTTGGAAAAGCACATCATAATTAATTTGTACAAAAGACAAAGCAAGATCACTGTAAATTTGTCATCTGATCCTGAAATGGTTTATTAAAGCTAACATTTTCCTTTATAGAGTCTTTGTTGATGTTGTGAATGGAGAATATGTCCCTCGTAAATCAATTTTGAAGTCTCGAAGCAGAGAGAACAGTGTTTGTAGCGATACCAGTGAGAACAGTGCTGCTGAGTTTGATGACAGACGAGGAGTTCAGAGGAGTATTAGCTGTGATGAAGCTACTCAGAGTGACAACAGCGAAGGCATACTGGAGGAAGAGGAGGAGGAGGGGCAGCAGCAGCTACTGAAAAAGCTTCCTCCCTCTTCAGGGACAACTGAGGTACAGTTTTTAATTAATTATTGATTGTTGGCAGGGATAAAACTGAGAAATCTAATGACTATAGTTGCATATACCATTGGCTTGATTTTTTAAAAACAATTTTCTGACTCCTACATGGTTTGCTTCAGAAGGACGTTACAAGCTTCTGTCACACGCATCCCTGGGCAGAGGGCAGGAGACAAGTCAGGTGGCTTCCCCAAGACCTGAAGCTCTTCTGTAAAGGCCTGACAGAGTAGTCGCTTGCCGGTGTTACTGAAACCAGGGTCATCCTGAAAATTTTACTGCAGGATGTACAGCAGGATTAAAAAAAAAAAAGTTAAAAACCTGTGCTTCATAGTTGATGAGAGGGATGAGTTGATTCTCTGTAACCTGTGTTGCACAGCTACTAGTTTCCAGGTGGTGTTTTCAAGTTCTAAGCCACACAAATATCAGTTGAGTTATTACTTGGACTTGCCAAAGACACAGGAATTGCCCTGTGAAAGGAAGCATGACTCCTCTACTTAGCCTGTTCCTGACTAGGGCCATTAGTGATCCCAAACGTATCTTTTACATGTTTGGAAAGTTCAGGGCTTCATCATAAAGGAAGAGACGTAAGTGAAAATGTACAGTTACTTAGTGACTGGATGAGTACGAGAATTAAATGCTCTGAAATTCATGGAACAGAGTGTTCTTCATTTTTGTCTTGTAACAACTTACATTAATTTTTTTCAAACTAGATGAAACAGAGTTTTCAGTAGTTCCCAATGAAGTGGGCAAGTTCAGTGAAAACACTGTTTTTAGAAAAATTATTTTTGACAAGAATTGAGTCCCTCATAAAAGCTGTTTTTTATCATCATTTTTCAAACAAACAGCTACAGACAAATCCAGGCAGGATGTGAGGATTCGTGGTGGAAGAGTCATCTGTAGAGTTAGCACTTCACATTGTCTGCTTTCTGAAATATATTTGCTGTATTTTTGTAACACATCTAAGTACACTTTAGATGTTCCTCGTTAGTCCATTTTCTGAATATGGTGTGATTATTCTCTACAATATAAGATGTTTTCTAAGCGACTGAAGGGGAGGGAACAGTTAGTCGTGCCTTCTTAAATGCTGGTGTTTTGCTTTTGGTTGGTTTTATGAATGTTTGAAATACATTGTTTCTCTGTTACCATTTGCAACACACTAACTTGTTTGTAATTTTACCACTGTCTTCCTGGGCTGCATTGTGCTTACCTGGTTTTGAAAATGAGTGTGTTGTTAGAACGAGGCAGGTGTGCACAGGCACAGCTTTCAGCATACTTTTGCTGTTGGAGCAGAAAACAGAAGAACACTGCTTTTTTGCAGGTCCTGCAATAAAAGAATGGCTGGTTTGTTTTGCTTTGTTTTTCTTAGTGGCTGAGTTATGAAAAAGCAGAACTAAGCATAGTTGATAAATCTGGTGTGCATTCCTTTGTGCCCAGTATGAGCATCAAACCTTGGATGTGAACTGCTTCCCCTTGTCCTCAGGCATTCTGAATTTTCTGTTTTCAGTACATAGTAGGATGATTTGTTCTTAAATATGTTTATGAACGGTAGTTCTGAGTTGCTTTTTTTTCAGGGTTTTCCAAGAGTCACGGTCATTTCTTACCTAACTTAAAAAGGATAAAGGTATAAAATGGGCTGCATAAAATTATCATTTTTAAACATTAAATGTTTTTATTAGACTTTTTTTTTTTAGAAGGAAATAGTTGGAAGCAAGTTTGCCATTCTCTTAAGTATAAATTGCCTTCACCAATTTTTGATCATATTTGGTAAGGAGAAAAGAACAAACAAAATATGTACTTGCCAGTTTGTGTGCAGCGTGTCAGGTTGATGCAATTAGAGAAGATATTAAGTCATAAAATATGACATATGATGGAAATGCTGACATACTCTAACTTTGCAAAGTCTCTCGATTTCTTATCCAGAATGAAACTATATATTAAATCAGCTGTTTTATTGCTTGAACATATGTCAGCAAGGAAACAAATTTTTAGATCATTTGTGCGGTAGGAATGAGATTAAGTAGTACTTTTAAGACACTGTCTTTCATTCAGTCATCTTTGAACGGGCTATTTTTTGAGGTTAATTACAATTTGGTTACTTATGCAAGGAACAATCATTGATTTAAAGATATTTCTTTGCTTTTGATTAAAAGAAATAACAATCCTAATCAGGCTAATATAGGGTAATGACCTTATGGGCATAGCTCCACATTTGCATTTTATTAGCTCATTTTGAGTGTTCTCTTCTGTTGTAGGCATTTTCCGGAACTGTTATAGAAAAGGAGCCTTTGTCTCCTTCCTTAATACCACACCCAGTCATTGCTCACCCAGTCCTGCCTACCATTCTGGAGCGAAAATCAGAGGAAGTTTTGTCCGAAGCGTCAGAAGAAACTACAAAGAGGATTTCAAAATTCAAAGCTGCCAGAATGCAACAGACTCACTAGGTCCTGCCCAGCCAGCCGAGGCTGGAGGCTCTTGCCTAGTTTCACATTTGTTGAGATGATGTAAAACTATATGCGTTACACCTAGCTAGTTAAAAGGGTGTCCTATGTTAATTTGGCATTGGTTATCTTTTATTAGCAACATTTAAAAAAAAAGTTCAGAGTTTGAACACTTTGAGTATTCATGTTATTCTGTCGGTTTCCCTGTGTGCTGTCAGCGCCTTTGTATATGTTTGCCTTATGATAGCAGCACTTGGGTTCTTTTTCAAAAACTCTTCCTTACATACATTGTTTTTGTGTTTAAACCTAAATACAGGCAGTTTTGTGCCAGCTGTGATGTTCTACATACCATATGGACCATTTTAAGGAAACTTTTCACATTTCAAATAGATTCACCAATTATATTGCATTACTCGCTTTAGTGTTTTAAGCCACGCTTGTATTCACATCGCTGTAGGTTTTGCAACTAGGTGTCTGCTGGAAGTTTTTTTCCTTCTTTCAAACCTCTCTGATATCTCACTGTACAGATCTATAAAGCGCTGGGTTCATGTACATTGCAGGGAAGTTTCTTTGATGGAAAAGGGTATTTTGTAAAATTAAATTTTCAGTAAAAAAGCTGTGAAAGTTGTGTGTTTTTTGGTGCTTTACTACTAATTTGGAAACGACACGGAGAGGTTTTTATTTTGAACTTGCATTTCTTGAAGTGTTTACTACCACATGGACATAAAAGCAGTCCATTCTCCTGCCATTGTATTTTAACCTCCTGCTAATGAATGTCCATGGAAATTGAATGCTCTTAAGGAGAGAAGCATAAACTCAGACTCTGATTACAAAATCTCCTAGTTCTTTTGTATACTCAGAAAACATTGTAATTGTCTTGGGAATGCCCAGAGGGAGTCAGCACTAAGGAAACATGTCTTAATGCTTCAACTTTATTTCAAAATGCAACAGCACTGCAGCACTCAGGGTACACTTTTGTGTGTCCTTCTGGCTGAGAGCAATCCTGGCTTCAGGAGTCCCAGCTCGTTCCTGTCTTCTCGCCATCCCCTCCCTTGCGCTGACACAGCTTTTGTGGGGCCACCCCTTGAAAGATAATGGGCGATGGAGCTGGGTTTAAAAACCAAACTACTGTGGTTGGGTTTTTTTTGATAGTTGTGTATATTTTTTTAAGCTAGCAAGTTTCATAATCTCTTTCTCAGCATGCTTGTATCAGCACAGTTAGAAGGGGTAACATGTTGAGCAAGGACAAGGGAGGACGTTGGCAGAGGGCATGGGGAGCTGGAGAACCTTAAACTGGCTGACATCATCAAACCACAGCCTAAGGAGTGAGGCAAAAAGACTTGGGAGGTGTAAGGAGGGATTTGCTCTCGGCCACAGTTCTGCGGCTTTGTAAACACGCAGCCCAAGTGCCACCAGCATCTGGATTTCCAAATCTTGGCTGTCCATGAACAGGGCATCAGCTAATGCTGTTTCCTCACCTTCCCCTAAAATAACTGTGCCTTGCGCTCGTGTGCTTTGGTCTCAGATCACAGCAGATTAGCTCGTCGTGCAGCTTCACGCATTAAAACAGAACCACCAGCTCCCTGCTTTTCCAGCACATTTTTCTCTGTGCTTAAAAGGGAGGTGGGGGCACTGGGACTACTTCTTCTAGGGTGACTTTTAAAAAAGGTTGCGCTGCAGCTAACCCCAAAGTTTTCTGTGTGTTTGGGAAGGTGAGGTCATTTCCTGGGCAGAGAATGTGGGATGCAGGAGCGCAAGAAGGGGCCGATAGCTGGGGTCCCTGCCGAAGCTGGGGCTGCATTTTCCCCATGATTCGGAGCAAACTGTGTTTTGCTGAAAGAAAAAGCGAGGGGAAAGTTGCGCAGCCCTCCCGCACCCGAAGCTCACGGGCTAGGAGGGGGCAATCCCTGTTTTAAGTGGATCCTGAGAATCACATTGAAAGTGTTAATCATTAACTTGATTCATACTCAAATGCAGATTTTTTTTTTTTAAGGCATATTGCATTAGTACTAAAATAAGCCATCAATGCCAGTCCACCCTCTATTCACGGCTAAATATTTAAAGGAGGTTATTTATAGCTTCTTTAATGAATTCTTGGCTAAACAAAATGAAATTATGTCCTAGAAAAGTAGAAGCTATTTTGTAACCAGAACAGTGCAACTGTAAAATATAGTTCCATGAATATGTATTTTAAATAACAAGGGGTTGAGATCCAAGACTACCAGACATGGGTAATTAGAGGGAAAAAGAGAGAAAGAAAGAGAGAGAGAGAGAGAGAAACCCCTTTAAAAAGATTTATTTAGATATCTTCTGAAATACTTCCCACTTCTAGTTACTTCAACAAAACCAAATGCCCCTTGTCACCATAGATCAGTTTCAAATCAAAATTAATTCTTTGCTTGTTTTCTTTTTTTCCCCTCCCCTTTTCCTGCTCACGGGGAGAAGTAGGATAAATGCACCTTGGGTTTTAATGAATTACGGCCTCGGTTCAGGGAAGCATCCTTACTCAGGAATGCACTTTGGCATGTGCTTATGTCTCAAAGATTTTGCAAAGAAGAATGGATTTAACCACATGCTTAAAACTAAGCACATGAGTGTTTTCCCTAATAGGGAGCCTGAATGCGTCTGTGCCCTTTCTGCAGTATATTTAATTGTCAGAGGGTTTGCAGACTCGAATGATCCTTCGTGTTCGGTCTCTTCGCTGGGGCTTTACCAGTAGGTTCGCTGTGTGGTGCGTATAGCAAAAAAATCCAGCTGTAGGAGTTCTGAAGAATGATTGCAAATGCTAAACAAAAAAATAAATCTACCAAAGCAGATAAAAATCTAGGCAGTGTAAAAAAATTATCATGTGAAGGACTATCTCCGTAAGGACTTAAAATTTGCTCTTTGTGCAACACTGAAGCCGGTAGGTGCGTGCAGATGACTACCAGTGCATGGATGAAGCAAATGGCAGGAAGAAGCAATGGGTGCCTTGAATTTGAGGCCCACAGAGTTGCTGGTGGTAAATTAATCTGTCGAGATGTGTGTCTTTTTACCCCAAAGCTGCTGTTGGAGATTTTCCTCACTTAAATAATAACAGTGGAGCTTAATTGGTTTCTGAAACACCCTTGATGACTTTTCCTGCTGCCTCTGGAAGCGCTCTGGGCACGGGGCTGGGAAAAGGGGCTTTTGGATCTTCCCAGTGTTTCCCAAGAGATTTGGCCCGTCCTAAGCAGGAAGGGGTGGCTTTGGCAGCTGGTCCCTGGGGTGGCACAGGAACGTGCGTGCTGGAAGAAGCCCCGTCCCCAGCCTTGTCCCAGCATGCCCGCTTGGGCACAGTGACTAGTGCCAGGCACGACTTCACAGGCAGGTAGAAATGCAGCAGGACCAAACAGCAGGGAAAGACGTTGCTGCCCAAGATGTCTTTGGTCCAAAAGGAGGCAGCAGCCTGCGTGGGCACTGCACGGCCACGAGGACAGGTCAGTGTGCCCCACTGCCCCACTGCCCCACGCTGCCCTTTGCAGGGCCATGATTGCATCAGTTATGCACTGCAAATTGGCTGCTCCTCTTCCATTCCTCATTGGGAGGCAAATTTGGCTCTTTAATCTTCCTTAATTGGCCACAACTAAGTTAAGCACCTGCTGGTACCCAGGGAAGAGGTTGTGCAGGGGGGATGCTGCCCCTCTGAAGCTGAGGAGGTCTGGCCTGGAGAAGCTGAAGGACAAGGCGGTGGGTGCTGTGTGCTCCGTGCAGCCGGGTCTGTGCTGGCGGCCACAGCCCTGGCCTGGGTCAGTGGAGCCTGTGATGCGCGTTTAGAGGTAAACTGGTTTTATTTCGCTCTCTTCTCTGAGACTAGTTGCACTTAGCACTTTTTGCTGCTTGTTTGGAGCATCTAAAGCAGCAGTTTTTTGTACGTTTCAAGAGCGTCTAAAGCAGCTGGTT